GACCTCTGCATCAGAGGACATCTCCCTGTTTAACATGCACCCAGTGACATCACAGTACTTTGTTGGAAGGATGAGACACAATCTGAACTCATTTAGCTTTAATACATGTGGAATAAACTATGAAATAAACAAAGACTTCACCTCCATCTGATTCTGTTCAAGACTCATAGTTATGATTTAAACTTGTCTGATCATCATGGTTAAAGTTATCTTTAGATAGAGCTGGTTCAGATTTGCCTTAATTGGACCTGCTCTAAATTATGCTGCCATAGGTCTAGATTGTTGGAGGACACACACATGGAGCTTCTCTCTCCTCCTCTTCCTCTTCATCACATTAATGTCTCATCAATATATACAGAATCCTCATCCTCAGAGTTCTTGTGCTTTACGGCTGCAGAGACAGGATCGTGGTGGCAGTTCATCGTGAATTATGATTACAACTAGATAGCTCAGATTTACAATATGCCTACTAACATATATTATACTGACCATACCTCTATCAATACAATTGCCAGTTCCCTTCGTCCCTGTGAGACAAACCTCTCCATTTATGTTAGACGCTTTACTTTTTCATCAAAGTTGTATGTGAAGGAATTTTTGATTTCAGCTCCTCACATCCAAACACAGCACATCTGCTATTTGTTTACTGTTAGTAGAACAGAGCCCGTCACATTCCACGCATATTCTCTTCTCTCCTGGACCCAAGGCCAGGTTATGGATAGAGGGTAAACTAGGATTCAATTGTAATGTCAAGGCCCAGGGACTTTCATCTCTAAATCTAAGGTCCTAAACAAAGAGGCTCCAACTCCTCTCCTCATCAGAGCAGAGGTAGAGAGGCAAGACACAGGCACACAACACGATTTCGATAAGTGTGCTTTAGGTTTAAGTCTCCAATAAGATGCAAATACATACAGATAGACAGTGACAGTATCTTTAGCCTTCTATAGACATGGTACAATGGGGGATGTGAGGTGGGGAGGGCGGAGATAAGTTGGGATGCTGAGTGACACATCTTCTGACTTTATGGTAACAACTGCTCATGTTACTCTGTTCATGTTGGTATTGTTTCACCTTCTGGTCTCCTTGATGCATCAAGTCAACACTAAACTCCTCTGTGTAAGAATTACACACTGCTTCCTGAAAACTTACATCACATTGGAAATAACACATTGTAAAAAATGATTTCGTTTTGCTGTTACATGCTGCATCTATTGCATTTCTGTCTGTCCTGGGAGGGGGATCCCTCACATGTGACTCTCTGAAGGTCTCTATGTTTCCCCAGTGAACAGGACTGATTTGGTAGTTTTTCATTACTCTTGTTGAGGGTTAAGGGCCGAGGACGATGCCCCCTCCTTCAGTGGTTCCCAAACTAAGGGCCGCAGAAGGAGGGTCATAATATGATTTCCAGAAATCAAATACAATTCAACAATACAATAAAGATAATACAAATGGCATGTTCTTAACCATTATTGTTACAAAAGCTAAAAACTACTACTTTCTGTGTCTCCCTTACAACACCACAGGAAACAGCAAGTGCATGTAGATGTATGTCCTTCAAACCTCTGATCAGTTCACTCATCAGACCTGATCTCACATAACAGACAGAAACACACCTCATGAGCGCCCTCACATCACCCTCACACCCCCTCTCTCACCTCCAGGTACGGGATGATCCGGCACGAGAACTCTCCCAGCAGCCAGTTCTTGGTGAGCTCGTGAAACACCACGAGCGGCAGGCAGAAAAAGATGATGACGAAGTCCCAGAGCGCGAGGTTGGCCAGCAGAGAGTTGGAGATGCTCCTCATGTAGTAGTTGTGGCACACGATGCACATGACCGACACGTTCCCGATGATCCCCACGCTGAAGATGACCACGGCGAGGATCATGACCACGTACGCGCCGTAGGACTCCGCGGTGACCGGGAAGAACGGATTCTTCACCTGCTTGCGCCTGGTCCGCGTGTCCACCGGTACGAGCGGCGTGGGGTCGGGAAGGTCCGGCAGAGAGTACTCCTCCTCCTCATAGTCGCTGGTGTTGAGTCCGAAGGGCGCCTCGGTCTCCTGCTCCTGCGCCATGGCCACGGGCAGAGCCTCCCCTGCGCCAGCGGCTTCGTCCTGCAGCGGGTCGCTTGGCTTCTCACTGCCGGGGTCAGCGCTCCGCCTCTGTCGCCGGTTGTGTCCGGTGCTCGCAGGGAGGCAGATGAGTCCATGTTGGGTTTGTTTCTCAAGTTCTCCAGACTTGCATTCACCTGTCCGCGGTCCACCGATTTTGTTTCCATCCGTGCGTAAAGCTTCCTCTCTGGGTGCAAGACGGACCCCATTTTTCGGGTCACTTTTACGCACAGCGCGCCGGTGTCTCTCTGTCCCCTGAAGCTCATAGAACGACCTGTTTACACTCTCCAGCCACGAAGCCTGCGCACTCGCACCGCGCGTCCCCCCTCTATCCACCGCACCGACTGTGCGCCATTCCCGACTCGGCGCATTCCTGTCAGCGGCGGTGGATTCATAATGAGGACTGAAAGTCGTCTTTGTTTTGAGCCCATGGAGTTGACTCGCCACGGCCTCGCTACACAGCCACAAACACAGTAACCTCAGGGGTGGAAGCGGCATCGTGTGGTTCCGTCTAACCCGTGAGATGAAACCGTGAGAACCCAAACGATCCGTCCATCTCTGGTCTCCTGACACGAAAAGTTCAGTTTACCTTCTTTAGTCACGAGAACAGCTTTCACCGAGTCTCTGGTCGCGTAAGACTGTGGAACCTGGCGTCGGGTTCAGGTGCGTCCGGGAACAGTTCCAGTCTGGAGGCATCACCAAAGAGACCCAACCCCGGAGCAGAGCAGTGTCCTCAGAGCAGACTGGAAACAGTTAACCAGCTCATGTGCTCCGCAGCATTAGATGGAGATGGGGGGGTGGACAGTTCCCCCCCCTGCGTTAAGGAGAGTTTATCCAAGACGAGCCACACTGGAGCGCCTGGAGAGACGCACCCGGAGGAGACGCGGAGCTCTGCCTGGGAGGCAGGAGAGGATCCGAGGGGAGGGGGAGGGGATGGATAGAGGAGGGGGCCAGTCATCTGTCAAGCTTATTCTGATCCGATATTAAACTTTACAAAAAACACTGAACCACAGCATGCGTGGGGAGATCACTGTACAGTATAAATACAATTATTAAAATCAATTAAGTTTCATCATTAACAGCGGCCCTCAAGTTCTCTTCAGGGGATTAACTTCCTTCAGCCATTTGCAGCGTGGACTTTTGTGTAATGTAATATACGCTGTAAATAATTAAGGAACTGAATTTCCTTTTCCTATAAATGTATTGATTTATTATTATTATTATGCTATACATTACAAACAATATTGAACTGACTAATTGTTAAATGTTCCATTTTCTCATAAAACACAAACTCATTCACATGTTGCAGGAATATTTAAAACAATAGAATATTCCTGCACAAAGTCCCTGGGATCTGTGTAGAATCCAAGTGAACACTCGTTTTGAATTATTTGACTTTTCGTTTTCCTGCTTCACCTCTACAGTGTGAGACTGGGGAAATGTGAGCTCCAGTGAAGACATTCTGTCAGTTTCCATGGAACTGGAGGAAAACTCACTGCATCCTTCTGTCAGAGCAGATATTTACATGTGTGGTCTGCCATCCAGTGCAAAAAGTGGGTATTACACCAACACCCTGCTGCTGTGAAATGATCTGCAACAACAAAACGGTGAGAGAATATTAAAAGTCATATTATTATCAGACAGATTTTACATCTCATACAAAGCATTTGTTTTCATGTTTTGGTGTAATAATTTTTGGGCACTGCTGTAATTTCATGAGTCATTGTTTTTATGTCTATTTGTTCCTGTATAGTTCTATTTTATTATATTCTTCTTTCCCCCATTGGGATCAATACAGGATTGTTTTATCTAATCTTGATCTGTAGCAGTGGACATTTCTGAATTCCCTGTCTTTGTCTTTTGTCTTACACATACTTGGAGCTCTGGTGTTCAGCACCTGGTTCGGTGTAAATGTTGCTGTTTGCTCTCCCTGGTTCTGGGCAGCAGTGATTGCTCCTGTCCAACATTAGGTCTGTGGGGAACAAGGAAAGATGACAACAGAATGAGACATAGGTGATCTTTGGTCAGACAAGCTTCCTGCTTTAAGAGACTATAATAAGACATGAGTCAATACAAACTTCAATTAAACAAGTGAACAAGGAAAGGACAACTATTTCATTCTTTTTTTGGTTCATCCCATTTGTTGTATTTTGGACCCAGGTAAGAATCAACACAAGTCTTTGACAAAGGTGCATCGTGTTGTCAGTTGACCAGCAGATGGCAGAGCAGCACCACTGGTCACCTCTGGAAAGTTCTCTGAAGATGAAGTGACAGTTAGTATAGAAAGTGAACACTTACCTTAAACCTCTCACTGCAGAAAAGGTCTGATCCACCAGAGCTGAATCTGTCCTTCTATACCGTGCAGTGAAGTCAGGAAGTCATATTATATACACTCTGTCCACCCACTCAAGGTGTAATAATCCATCCATTATCTATACCACTTAGACATTGAGGGCTGCGAGACATTGGCTAAAAAGGGGGAGGGGGTACACCCTGGACAGGTCACCAGCGTATTGCATGGCCCACATACATAGACAAACAGCCATTCACACTGACACCTATAAGGACAATTTAGAGTCCCCACTTAACCCAACCCCAGTCTGCATGTTTTTGGACAGACGCTAGAGTATCTCTCTCACAGACAGAGGAGAACATGCAAACAGAAGGACCCTTGGGAACCATCTTGCTGTGAGGCGACAGTGAAAATTAAAATTACAAATGCAGCATTTGAAAGACACACATTGCTGAAATTCAAATATACACCTCAACTCTAAACTTTCAGTTTTTTAAACCATATTTAAATTGTGCAAAATATCTGTTTACTTCAACTGAACAGAACTCACTGGCTGATTGTTTGCTTCCAAATGCATTTCAAGTCACTGTTTAGTCTTTTATTTTGAAAGAGTCATTAAAGTTCTGTCACATGTCAGTCAGCAGGTTTCTAAAAGTTTGAGACAACATTTTATTTACATATTTATTTATACAGTATATAAATACAAATATAACACAGAGGAGGTGACAGCGTTTTTCCTGCAGGACACTGGTTTGACGGTGACCCCCGACCTGCAGGGACTCAGGCGGGGTCAGGTTCAGACCGTGTGGGGGAGGAGGGTCTGGCGACGGCGGTGTGGCAGATCTGGTAACAGGTTTGGTTCTGTCCCTCGTCATTCGTGGTTCGGTACGCTGTCAGACACAAATTGAGCCAAGGGCGCCCACCTGATGACACACAAACACAAAACTCAGCTACAGCACACAACACTAACATCTGTAAAAAACACAAAAACACTTTCCAGCCAGACGCTACGTTATTATTACTGTTAAAGATTCAGATCAGAGGTTCTGGAACAACGTGCCCAAGGGAAATATGGCAGACTGAGTCAGTAGCTTCTTTTAAATCAAAATCTGAAATGTACTTTTATTGTACTGCATTCACATATTTTGTCTTTTCATTGCTTTATTCCTGTGTTTTTATATTTATTATGAGTTTAGCTTGAAGTGCAATATATTATCATTATTATTCAGTTCAGAATAAAAGCTGCTGCTGTTCATTCTGGTTAGGGTCCTTGTTAACCCACAGAAATGATGCGTGACAAGTAATCAGATGTTACGACTGTGTGTGCAGCTGCTGTTAAAAGTTTTACACCTTTAAACCATAGACTGAATATAAATTCTGAGAGTTTGACAGAGGTACCTGCACTGCCCCCTGGTGGACAAAGGGCATCCATGGTTTGATGGATACTTTTCTGAGCCTCCTGATTGGCTGCTGCTTCCTCCGCTGTCACACTGAAGAACAACTCCTAATAGACATGAGAACAGATGAACAAAAGTGAACCAGTCGGACCATTAGCACACATGATCGTTTGTTAACGTTTAGTATCACCGTCTCTTTTGGTCACAACTTGTTTGTATTCTTATTCTTGTATTCTCAATTCCCAAATTCTCCTACATTTTGTACAGCGAGTATGACTCGTCAGATTCAACGATTATACCTTCACATATGTGTGGAAATGATGTGCATAAACATGAGGAATGCCACCTGTTTGTATTTGAGGGAGAGTGTCAAAGAATAATAAATTAGTATAATTAATACGATATAAGGCAACACTTCTGGCCCCATGAAGTGTTCATTCATAAACATGACATTAAAGAGTAAACCGCACTACGGTTGTATGCCTCCGCCAACCAGTGCGGTTTCAGTGTGCCTATTCATTTTTTCCATATGCGGTCACTTTGACTTTTGACCACTGGAATGTAATCACTTTATCAGTGGATCCAAGCGAAAACTGATCAAAAGTTGAATAAATTCTCTCAAACAGTCTTGAGATATATTCAAAAGACCAAAAACACATTTTTTGAGGCCACTCTGACCTTCATACCAGCAAGTTAACTCAAAATACGATTGGTGAATGAGACAAGTTCTCCAATATTCATTTCTTGCATAGGACCCATTTGTGACTTCTCTGATCCAAAAGTTTCTCAAAGTTTTTAATGATGGAAACTTTTCTTTTCTCTGAATTCCTGACTGAATTTGAATATAGCCTGTGTCGTCAGTAAGAATGGATGTCTGGTTTCGACACGGCTGCAACTCATCATTACTTAACTATTCTTCTTCATTTGTTTCATCTGCTGTTCTGTGAACCTTCGCTTAATTTTAGAAAACTTTAGAACACAGCAGGCGACATATTACAGACGTAACATGAACACAAACTGTAATAAAACGCTTATGTGACACATTTGAGTTAGTTCAGAAAGAGCATTTTTGCCAGGAGAACTTTCCCCCTTCTCCTTGTGATGTGATTCAGAGTGTGCAGGATGTTTAATGAGATCTGAAACTCACGGCGTCTCTCCACAGGAAGACCTCAAGCGTGTCAGTGGCGTCCTGCAGCTCGAGCTTCATCAGCAGCACGTACTGGAGCAGCTGGACACCAAGAGCTGCAGAGAAGGAGACCATAGACATTAACACGGTGTGATTTATTTCAGAGAGAGAGCTGCAGCTCTAACAGACCTGAGATCAGCCAGGAGCCGTGTAACTTTACAATCCTGCTGAATCGGGGAAAACAGTCAAATGACACAAATATAAAACTCAGAGTGAGGGTGAAAAAAGGGTCACACACATTAATCCTGTGAATCTTGTGAATATCCTGCAGATATGAGCTGTGACTGTACGATAATGTCTCAGGGTTGCACTTAACAAGCATTTTTATTCATTATTAATAAATAGTGGCATCTTTAAATGTCTTGTTATGTCTGCACAGACCAAAACTCAAAGATATTCGGTTTACAATGATATAAAACAGAGGAGCTGAAAATCCTCTCATAAAGGAACTGCAACCAGAGAATGGATTGTGTTGCTGTTTCAATTTCTGTTCATCGATTTCTGAATCTTCTGTGCACAACGTTTCCTTTGGTAAAAGTTACAATAATTGAAGAGAGAACAAACTGAAAAGACAACATTGGCCTGACTGTGAACGAGGGCTGCTTCCTGCGTGTCCAGAGATTCCAACCAAACTCTGTCTCACCTTCTGCAACGATCTTCTCATCGATCACCTCGACTCCTTCAGCACGCGGCTCCCTCACTGCCGCCTCAGAGCACCGCTTACACCTGGAACACAGACAGGAACTAATGACGAATGAGCTGGAAACCTTTCAGGCCTCTGCATCGTCTCTGGTTCACAGAAGAACCTTTACTTTGACTTTAGAACAAACTTTATCTTAACAACCTGCAGCTCAGTTTGTCACAACATAAGATATCTTCTCTTTGTGATGAGGCTGTTTCCATAAACTGATTTCTCCAAGGTCAAGAATAAACTTTCAATGTCTACTTCTGAACGTGGAAGAAAAGTCACCATGTGCTCAGAAAATTGAGCACTGGGAGGAGTCTGTGACCTGAAAGCTGCTCAACAACTACTATAAGTAACTGTCGGTGTGTTTCACACTGACACAGAATTCACCTTTAAAAAGCAAACAAACTTGAACCTTTCCGTTTGTGTGTTCGGGAATCGGAAACTCACGAGAACACTTCTCAAGTTGGAACCACAAACTGGAAAATCAGTGAAAGTTTTTCTTACATGAGTTGCAGAGTAGTCATTGCTTATAAACCAGAAAACCTTATTTTACAATCAGATTTAAATAGTAGCCTGGTAATGTAGGCTTGTTAAATGTTACGCTTGTTTCATTTGCAAACTGCATGTCCATCTCTCACAAGCTCAAACTCAAACCTGTTTAGCCAATACAGACTTCACAATACAAAACAGTGATACATTTTAAATAATGTGTGTGTCTGTCACATCTGATCCTTTCTCTTGGCTCTTCGTCATTGTGAAAGATGTGTCCAGATGTTGTTTAAACACTCTTCACACATAAATACATTACATATTGTTTTCAGCAGCCATATTATTTCTTTTTCCACATTTCAACTTCAAACCAAACAAACACACCAAAGTCACAGCTCAGGAGATGGGAGCTTCAGAGGAGCAAGTGAATACAGTGACTTGCTGTTTTGAGTCAGTGGAAACTGATCGACTGACAAGTGAAGTCAGTAGCTCAGTATGACACTTAATTTAAGGCTCATCGTTAACACAGTTATTTACACCTACGCAGGCAGGTGTCTAATGAGTGTTCTCTCTGCTTGTTACAAGATGATCTGCTTGTGCATCGAGTGACGCCTTTTTATCCAACAAGATTCAAGTGCACCTGAGTCAAAGAGACCAAGAGACAAAGTACAACTGCTCTGAACCACGCACCCGTGTCAGTGACCTTTTTCCCACAGTGAGGCTAACAAAAGTGGATTCAGACACTTTGGACACAAATGCACTTCATGAACTTCAGTCTTAATGTGTGTTGTTCACCCCCCAGAGTGGTTTATTTATCTTGGTCCAAACTACTTGTTGTGTTTCTGCCACACAATTAATCACAGATCATTTTATCTGATTACACAGATCCTGAGTCAATAGTCCACACGAAGGCAACTGCAGTCAGTGTGATCACAAACAGTGAGTCATGCACAGGAACTGCAGGTAGGCTAAGATGACATAGCTCCAGAGGTTCATAATGTACTGAGCCGAGGTGGGGAGTAACAACATACAAATACTTTACTTCAGTACTTTTCCTTCTATTGCCTAAATTTTAACACACATATCAGCACTTTCTACTCCTTACATATCAAACCGGCTTTTGATTCTAAATAAATTCTGAATATTTAAAGGGGTCCCTATCAACAATGTCTGTAAATGTGTCGATGCTGATGTTCTACGTAAACATTGAACACAACACATTTATCTTTAATGGAGTTTTTAACTCAAAAAATATAAATATCGATCATCAGTCATCTTCAACAAGAAAAAAAGAAAGATGGCTGACATAGCTTCTCATTAATAATTTGTTTACCAGTGGAAACTAAATAAAACAAATGTCATTGAAATGTCTCTGACCCGTAATATCTCTTTCTGCCCCTGAACAGGAAAGGTGCAGACATGTCAAGCAGAGCGAGGTGATCGCCTGACGACCTCACGGGGATGATGTTCTGGTACCCGGCTGCAAGTCGACATGTTTCCTCCAGAGTCGAACCTGTAAAACACCATGTCTGTCACCAGGTGCACCTGCTTTTGGATTAAAACCTGACTGTCCTGTGGGTTTTTCTGGTTTTGATGGCAGCACAAAAAAAAGATTGAATATCAACTGTTGTTTATGTAGACCAAACTTAGGCAAATAAAAATACTTGATGATTCAATGATACCACTGAGGAAGATGAGCTCTTTGGTTTTGCCCTCAGACACGAGCTGGGCTGACAGGTGAACACTCAGAGATCGGTTCTGAGATTCCGCAGACCCTGCGGGGACGTCAACCTTCCCAGAGAACATCCACGGTGGGGGAGTGCAGGATCCAGAGTCCCTGGAGGCCTTCGAAAAGAGACCAGCTACCAGATCATCATCTGGGACATCCAGCCTGAGAGCAGAGTGCAGAATCACAGGGAAATCAGACATTTTAAAAATTGAATAATCCTCACTGATATTTTTGCTGCATGCAAATGTTCACACAGGAATGAGAGGTAGAAAGAAGGAAAGGTAAATTAACACAAATGTAACAATTTTTAATTCATATGAATTATTTGGTGGCACAGTTGGATCTGTATGTTTACTTTGAAACTGAAAAGTGTGGCTCTGCCACCACGCTAAGAAGAGAAAAAGGTTTGTATATTTAAATATTTGATAAACCTCAAAACCTCTGGAACATAAGTTCTGACTATCACAAATGTCTACATGTTTGTGCTGTGTATTAAAATCAATGTTACTGTTTCAACTGACTGAGCAGAGCTGCACCAGTGGATCAGTGAAAAAGAGCTTTTTAAATGGCTGCATATGCACAGGAAAACAATTGAATGATACTGTGATAGTCAGAGTGTGAGTGTGTGTGTGTGTGTGTGTGTGTGTGTGTGGGTGTGTGTGTGTGTGTGTTTGTGCATACATAGACGTGCACTTGCTGCAGTAGAGTTTCAGAGCCTGGTGAAGTCTGTGCGGCTCGTAGGATCTCAGCTGGACTGTGACGTGGTGAATTTGACCTGGATCAGACCGCTTCAGCTCGGACAGCGTCACTGGCTGCAAGTTGTGACTGCAGCTTCTCTCTGACCAGAGCACAATCAAACATCCAGTTAAAAGACATATAGACACAAACAGAGTGAAACTCATCACCCTTTGAAGTTTGTCATGAAGTTTTTGACGCCATGTGGAAACGCAGCCTGTAACGACTGCACATGTTACACTTCTGAGACAAACAGGTTTGAGGCGAACCATAGTCTGTGGAGGCCGCCATGTTTTTTTTACTGTAAAACCTTTTGAGTTTTCATGACAAATAAAGTTCACCACGTTCTCTTCCATGTTTGGAAGGGGAGGGTGAAATGAGGAGTGTTCAGCGGTATACTTATACGACTTTGGAAATCAACATTGAAAAACATTTTTGCTGATGAACCATTCAGGTGACTCAACATTGTATCTCATTATATACTGTAGACTGACTATGTGAATTATTGCATTGTTTGAAGTGCTGCTACTAAAACTTAATTCCAGAGAGGTTGAATTAACTGACACAGAGACACAAACTGACTCAGCCAACGTCTCTGACCCACAACAGTTTGGATTTTTGATATGATTTGTTTGAAATAACGCCACAATATCAACACGGATCACCACATAATGATCGATACTTTTCTTAAATCTGTCGAATCTTTCTTCATACCTGCACAGTCGTTCATAATTCAACTGTTGTATTGACAACACACACCCACACACGCACTCAACACAAACAAACAGTGTCATTGAAAACATGTGTTAACTCAGATTGGGTAAAAACAAAATAATTTGTAAACGTGGTTAATTTGTGGAGAGGCGGAGGAGATGGCGGAGCACACTAGGTTTGCCTCGATTTGGTTAGCAGTGCAGTGATCAAGGATGTAGAGATCGACCGTTTAAATGGATGAAAAAGCTTGGGACAGAATCCTTCCTATAAAATGCTGTTCAGTTATGATATATATTATAATTATACTCCTCTCTTTCCACTGTATAAGTATTCCTGATCTCCAGGAGTTGCACACAGCAGCACAGAGGCAAACAGACTTCAACAACGTGCTGCTTGTTGAACACAATGCTCTCAGGTATGGAATCAAATATATATTATACTTCACTGTGTGTCCATGTGTTTACTTCTTGTGTCATTTTGAATTGTTCCACCATGTTTTTCGCTTCCTTGTGTTGTCTGGTGTGTAAGATTATAATTGCTTGAGTTGTTTTGTATTAGGGAGTGCTGCATACAAGATTTGGCTTATTCCTCCCTATCTATGCTCTGCTATTGAATGTCTAGAATATTGAATTTGTTACGCATCATTAAAGTCTTTAAAATCTTTAAGCGCTGAGAACAACTGTGTACACACAGATAAAATGTTACAAGTGCAGTTTACTATCAGTGCATTGATCTACACAGACTATTAATGAGTCTGCAGAGGAGGTGGGCACTTTAAATATATTCTAAACTGAGAGAAAAACACAATAAGTGACATTTGATCTGATTAAATATAAACAAACCACTTATCCTCAAGAGCTTCTCATACATTCTCCATTAGTTGAGTGCGACATGTTGAGCGTCTGCATTGTTTTTTCTTACCTGTGCTGCACTCCGCTCTCTCACCATCTGAAAACACAGACAAACCAAAAAGGACTTAACTAGACACAAATATACAAAGCAATAAACAATGAGCAGCATTGACTGTAAAAACAAATTATCCTCTGATCTTCATGGAAGGCTTAAAACAAGGAAGAGTGACTCTGCTGGTTACAATTTCTAAAGTAAAGAGTAAAATAAGATGAATATTAAAATATTCTTTTACATCAAGGATGTAATATTCACAGCAGGTTAAGGCAAAAATATATAGAAGCAAGCAAAGGATATAATCATTCTAAAAGTAGATCACTGTGAATCTGAGATGTGAAAAAGATAACAATAATAAAACTAGACTGTGTTTTCTCAGAGTTACACAACAACAACAGACCTGAGGCCTGCAGGTCTGGACACAGAGCTTTTTTTAATATAGAGGACATTTTAAACCTGTAGCTGTTTGTGTGTCTGTGTGGAAACCTTCAGTTTCTAGTTTGGACTAGGTTTTATCCCAAGTGTGGCCTCTTAGAAGACGTAGCTAATGGATGCAGTACATCCATCCTTTATTCCACCCATCTCTCCATCCATCCTTTCTTCAGCAGAGAGACAGGTTGTCTCTTGTCTCCTGCTTTACCTCTTCAGCTGCTGCACATCAGGCTGTTTTCTGGCTGCTGGCAAAGATGCTTTTCATTTCATCAAAGACTTTTGAGCAGCCACTACTCTCATTCTTTCATCTTTTTATTTCAGTCACGCAGTAAAAATATTTAGGTTTTTCTTCCAGTCATCTGTAAGAAGACACTATGAAAGAGGATCATTGAAGAAAACTAGCATGTTAGCAGCCATGCTGCCAGATCTGTGAGGTTGTACGGCTACACCGGTGCTTTGGGCTAACTGTGATTGTAATAGAGCTCAGCAGTGTGGTTCCAGAACTAAAAAACAATACATGATTATAAGCCATAACATTGTTACCATCCAAGGCAGACCTGCTACCAGATTCTAAAACAATGTTATATTTTCCTTTCAAAGCCACGTCTGTATAATATCAAATGTCCTTTAAGGAAAATGTTTTATATTTTTTCAGCTTTTGTATCAAGTATAAAGTTCATCAATTATAACAAAAATGAGATGGGACAGTCATGATAGTAACTTTTAGCCCATTTTAGCCAGTCACATCACAGAGAAAGAGATTTCTGCTTTGTCACAAGAGTTTTCAAGGGGTGTCTTGAGAGAGACAGAAAGAGACAGAAGCTGCATTCAGACATGCACGGAACTCTAGAGATTCTCCGAACTTTCTCCAAAGGTGGTGCGTAAGTGTACGTAAATGTCCAAGTGAGAGCCTCCAGATTAACTGCAGACTTTCTCAGCCTGGCCCCATAGTATAAAGTCTGTGGAAAGCTGAGAGAATCTGATGTGAGAAGACAGCAGGGGATCTACCGCTGTAAAAAAAAAAAGAAAAGAAAAGAAATATCTCCCGGTGAAAAAAAGCGAAGCCGCACACGTAGAAGACACCGACCAAGATTCCAAGAGAGTTTGTGATGAAAGGAGCTGACACCCGTGTGTGTCTGTGTCTTCACGTGATTAGCAGCAGAATTAAAAGTTACTTCCTGCCTCTGCCTGCTGCACCTGGCTGCTCCACCTCTCGCCTGCTGTTTGTCCCATTGCTTTGTGCATGTGTAAAAAGCAAACTGCAGATAAGGTCTGGACCCAATTCTCAGGACTTTATCCCCAGGTCATGTCTAAAATGGCCACAAAATGCTGAGTGATAAAAACTACACTTTATATGTGACTGTGTTGTATTGAGATACTGCTTCATGATGGAAAGAAATGGACATGACCCATATATCCCTGCATCTGTACCTATGCAGTGCTGTGTCAAACCTAAAGACTCCGGTGGAGTGCTCCAGATTTCCAATAGCTCCGTGTCGTTCAGTGAATCCTCATCTCTGTCGCTTGGGAAGGCTTCAAGGGCTCTACACATACATAATGAAGAAGAAAAAAATTATTTCATGTTATGGGAGCACCACTCACATTCCAGTAAACTGAATCAAATATCGCCATTAAAAATGGGTTT